CGAGGCGTCGAACATCACGAGCTTTCGTCCTTAGGTGTCCTTTCCACCCATTACGCCATTAAGTTCGTGACTTCATCGGAACGCGCGAATTAATTTGCGCGCGCGAGCACAGTAGATGAATGTAAAGTCTTGGTTAAGTTTTCGGTGGTTAAGTGTTGAAGCTCATTGCGCACGCGATTTCATCGGCGCTCGGGACGTTGATGAAAATATTTCAAACTCCATGGAGCAGTTCACGGGCATTGAACTGCGAGTTCTCGAGCGGAAGTGCATTAAAACGTGTGCGGCTACTTTCCAATGTCTGCGTGCACGCAAACTGCAGGGCCGCGAAAGCCAGCGTGCCACGAATAATGTAATTAGAGTCTCGTTACTAATGTACTAGTCTACGTGAGCCTTCCCTTGTTCTGATTATTATTGACGATTGCGCAGTGGGTCGTTCGAGAGGGGAAGGAATAAATGACGACGCCCTTGCGCATTGCTACATTAGATACTCCGTAAGGAATCCCCTTTATGCACTCGCTGCTCCTTTTTAGCCAATCCTCGCTTCGAATACAATATTTATAGGCTAAGATTTTAACAATTTATGTTACTCGAGAGTGGAATACGAAGATATTTATTTTATCGAGTTTGAGCTGCGTTATAATAATATTATTGCCCTTTCAATTTATGATTGATTATTAAAATATACTCGACCTTATGTATTTCTAGGAGCGAAACAATTTATATATCGCAAACAAGTCCTGCTATTTATGGCACCAAATCGAAACATCAAAGTCTTATATTTTTATATCTTTCAAGTATTTGTTTATCGCATTTAGCGAACGGCTAACGGCTTCGATTGTAATGGCGCGCCCGCGAAGATCCTCTCATTGCTTAACAATTCTATTTATACATACGAGTTGGTGCACAGGCGAATGTTGAGCGCCTGCAGGTGCGCATATTCTATCGATACGCGAGCTATTTTGTCTAATAATCGCTGTAATTATTTAACGCGCCAAGCGATTATGCATAATTATAACGATCACTCGTAGAGGTCATTCGATGAAATAATGAACAGTTTCAGGCTATTAAAAGCTATATTTGATAGATAATGATATTTAAATATAGTGAAAATTGCCGGCCGATACTGATATTAATTATATTATATAAAACTATCGATTATAAGACTATAGTCTGCGTTGTAAATTAATTCTTAAATTGTCGAATTGATAAATTCAGAATTACGGGCTAATAGTGTTTACGGAGTTTAACGTGCGCGTGATGGTGCTAGAAAGAGAGAGAGAGAGAGAGAGAGAGAGAGAGAATCGATCAATCAACTTTTAATAATATGAAATAGCCATCGATTACAAAACTGAATGGACAAAAGCATGGAGCGATTAAACGCTACGTTTATAAAAGTACAAGTGAAATCATTAAAATCGTACATTAAGTAATGGTAGCTCTGCTGATCGATTAAAGGCTCGAAGGCACTAATAATGGAAAAAAAATCTCTTCTTTAACTTTGCGCGCCCATCGTCGGCCTGCTTGAGAATTTTAATCTTATCGCGTGTCCCCTACTTACTCTCCTCGGCCCCTCGACTTATTGTTATTCCACTTTTGTGGATAAAGCGAGGCCAAGGCGCAGCCAAGGAGGAATGCCCAGATAAAGGATATCGGGGAGCGAGGAAGCGCGAAAATATCGCCTCTCGCTCTCCTCGCTCACCCAATTGGATTATCCAATCGGATTCTCGCTGTCAAGGCTGGTGCGCGTTAATGAGTCGACGCCGCTACCATTTCTAAAAATGTCGATGAGCTCCGCGACCGCAGCCGTGCGCTTATTGTCCCGCGAGCCTGCCACGCGGATATCTACACCCAATCACCTTCGAGCGCGCCAGGGAATTCGGCTTTGAGATCCGCGCCGACGCGCCTCTTCCTCTCCCTTTCTTCTTTATAAAAGGAATTCGATGACTTCCTCGTGCGGGACGTGGGCGGGAGCGCGCCCGAGATATTACGAGTAGTCGTCTCGGCTTTCGAAAGCCGACGCGGGGGCTTGACTTTATTTAGGTGCGATATTTACAGCGCTTGGCGCTTCGAGTACAAGCTGCTTCCTTTATAAACTACCGGGATTATTCTTATGTACTTTCTTTTTTTAACTCCCTGGCTGGCGTAATTTTAATAGCGGATAACGGTTTGGGAATGCGTCGTTTGCCTTTTTTGGCAATCGGCTGCGTCGATTATTGGATTGTCGGAGGCCCGGTAGTTTTAAATTTGTGAATAACGCCTGTATTTTTAATTCGAGCGTCGACTGTGACATTCTATTTTCATATGTGAGTCATGCAAAGCAGATATACGCCTATCGTGCAATTTAAATATCTAATGCATCGGTCGCCGTTTGAAATTCTCTTGCTATAGGTAAGGCGCACTCCGAGTTCCGACTGCAATTGGAGTACTACGATCGCCGGATATTTAATAAATGAAGGTTAACGAGGTTATTGAAGAAAATAAAATTTTCCACAAATCGATATTTTTGCGTGCTTGAACTTTGGCCGGGAACAAATCATGTTTCTTCATCGGCTTATATGGGTGTGCGTGTATGCGCGTCTCCTTTAATTTTACTACCCCTTTGGTAGATGAGAGAAACAACAATGCTACGAGTTTTTTTTTTTTAGAAAATAAAATATACTCGTAAATGGCCATATTGATTATTACGCTCAAGGATGACTTAATAGCGTACACGCGTGATATTGCCATGTTGCGTCATATGGGCACTCTATCTTTGTAGGGTGCGTCCCTTTATCTACTCTCCGAATCGCTTATTTTGGCATTATCTTCTACTCTCTGCTCAACTCAATACAATTACACTCCATTTTTTCAGAAAAATTTATAATTATTTTATCTTACTATAAAGGGAGTGCGATAGATTTTTTTTTTTATTTAGTAATTTAAGCCAATGGCATTCAATTCAATCCAGGAATTACTTTATATTTTTCTTAATATTTTTCCCATAGATTAAATTGAATTTTTTGGTGGATCGTTCCTGTATAAAGATTCATCATATATGTATATATCGCTTTCATCTAATTTTTATCTTTCCATACAAGTCTATGAAATGTAATTTATCACGAGATTAAATCCATATTACTAGATTAAATGTGACGAATCGTGGAGGAGAATTTTATTTCATCGATTAATAATTAATTGAATCATTTTTCAAAAAATGAATGCAGAGTATGCATAATGTATGATTAAGCTTCATCAAAGATTATGTAAGAAAGGAAATGAATCTTATGCAATTATTATAAATTTCAATAAATAATATTTAATTGACAACAATTTTAATTTCCAATAGAAGATATCAAAATAAAACAGAAGATGTTATTTATAAAATTCTCAACTACTTACTATTTCCGTCACATCGAATCAATACTCTGTATAAGAAAAAAACAATAGAATTTATAAAAACATTCACTTTCACTCGCACATATTTATCAATTTATTTATGGCTCTCGATAAAATCAGTTGTAAAGAGCTTTTTATAACTAATAAATTGGTTTCCGTGTCCTTACTAATATAATAAATTGAAATAAAAAAAAATTACCTTGAGAAATAAACGATACAATAAACACTTTTAAAGACAAATGTAAATACCTTATCAAATGACATCTTACCACCTACATACACACACACACACACACACACACACATAAAAATAAATTATAAACTTTGAAGCGATTTATTAGGAACGAAGTATTTAACGTATTTTCTATTCTTATTGTATGCTTTGATATATAAATTGAGTGAGTAAAATCTTGCTAATTTGATGAATTATTTGTTAAAATTGTAAAATAAATTGCTTATAAAATATCTAAATACTTATTAACAAAATACTTCAAGTACGGCAGAATATTTTACCTTTTGTTTATGTGTATGTTGCTTAAATAACAAAATGTATTATTGCGCTTTAAAAGTTGAGCGGAACGAAATTGATTATACAATTATATATAAATACGGAATATTATGAACGACGTCTTCATGCCGATTACATCATTGCCGATCCTGCATATGATCATAGTAAAGGGACGCGGGTGAAATCATCAATATAACATTACGTCATTACACGTCGAAAACTTCTTTAAGTGGAAACTACAGTTGTTGCTATACGTAATGACTTTAGTTGTAATCTTTTCCTTATTTTTTTCTATATTACACAATACGACAGCTTAGCACTTAACGATCGTTTTTCGACTTGCCTAAGAGTGCTTGGGCAATTGATTTTAAGAGTACGCTACACGTATAATGGAATCTGCATTTTACGTAGATAAAATATTGCGTATCGGATAATGTAATTAACTCGACTGACAGTTTGATCGTATTGTTCAAGATTTTTAAATTGTCAGACGTTATGAAATCAATAGTAAAAAGTACGGAATAATTGCAATCGATTCATTCCATATGCGAGCACAAGTTCATGCATTGTTCTCATTATTCCAATTACTCTGTCAATAATGAATTATTTCTAAACGATCTCAGTCGATTTCATTCATAATATTTAAATTATTTCACATTCATACGATCGATTATCGTAGTTTCAAAAATTGACAAAATGTTATTTTTATTATCGTCATTCTTTATCGATGTATATTTTATTTCTAATAATAATATTCACAAGTAAATAAAACATTTAAAATAACAATAATTGATAACCAATATATTATATATAATACAAAATGTTATAAGCGGTTGAATTATTATTATCATTATAATTTGAACATGCTAGACTATTAGTTTTCAACATTGTACATTTTCCGCGCAACGTCAAGTAACTTAATTAACGGTTATTCGATAGATTATTCAAAACTATTTCACAAAGAAACTTGTTTATTGAATTTTAAAAAATAAACATGTATATGTGTGTGTGCGCGCGTGCGTGCGCGCGCGCGTGTGTGTGTCTCAAGAGTAATTGGAATAATTTTCCAATTACAGAAGTTCGTGAATATAAGTTAAGTATTTGATTTATGTTTCAGGTTCATGCCAAGCACGAGGAAAAGTCTGACACAAAGTCAGTTTACAGAGAGTACAACCGCGAATTACTGCTGCCGACGGGGCCGAATACCGAAACTATAAAGATGGAGTACTGACTGTTGAGGCACCGCTTCCGGCTCTTGGACAAGGCGAGAAGTTGATTCCGATTGCGCATCACTAAGACGACTAAAGCGAACTTATCCGTCGATCCGTAAAATTGCAAAAATACAAAAAAACCATCGAACGTTAGGTTCCCCTCCTTTTTTTTTATTTTTTTTTTTTTACAACGTCTATTATTAATTTGAATGTTGTTATTATTGTTTAAATTCAAGTCCCTTCGTCTCGCTAGTAAATCTTGTAAGCTTTCGAATGTCCAAATTTTATTTTCGCACGATTTGCTCATTCAATAGATTAACATGAAATGAATATTAAAAATTGTAATAAATATAGCAATAATAAGACTATAAATTTATTGTATACAAGTACGAATATATTATGCAAGCTAAATAATAAATAAATAAAGCTATGATTCTCTATGTGCCTTCTAAAGTTTTTCCTAATAAATACATAAGTGAACGCAGCAGAAAAATATATTAATATGTAATACGTGCGCTTTTAATTATGCCTACGTACACTAAAACTAATGCAAAAAGTAGTGTAAATGTGTTGTGTAAAGCTGTAATACACCATTGTCAAAATTAATCTATTTGCATTGTGAATTGCGATGTTATGGAAAAGTACTTCATACTCGAGACAAGGGAAAACCGATGTGTCTTGAAACATATAATTTATGCATACATCGAAATATCAGATAAAAGAAAAAAATTAGAAAGAATAAAAAACAAAAAATAGAAGTGTAATTTAAAAAATTTATGCCTAACGTACTATTGTCAAACGCTTAAGAGTTTGTTTTTCTTTAATGAGATTTTTTTTTTTTTTTTTTTTTTTCAACGGCGATGAAGACCAATAAAAGGAGAAAGAGCATAAAAGAAACGGAAAAAATTGTCGGTATCATAACTTATATACGTGTTACTTTAGGTGTACGTTAAAACATTAAACAATGCCTAGCGTATGTAAGAGTTATTATATTATTAATATTATTTATGAATATTTTAATAATTTCGAAAACAAAAAGCTCAAAAGTTAATAAATTATTAACAACCAATAATTGTAGTCTATTAATCTCTATTACCTTGAGTTTTTGTACAGTATAATTAAAATTTTTTATAATATTTGGGGAATTAGATTTTATTAGATGATAATTCAATCTTTTTAAAAGGCAGATAAATCTATTTCGTTTAAATATTAAATGTTAATAAATATAATTTTTTGATGGACATAATATATAAAGTTTATACATATATATATATATATATATATATATATATATATATTTAATACTATATAGAGTAAATGTAAAGAAATTTAGTAAAATATCTCAATTTAATAATATCAATTAAAAATATTTTTTTTAAATATTAAAAATTTTAACTTCTTAATGAAATGTGAATTTCTTATGCTAATATAGTATGCAAATAAATTATATAATCATATAAGGAAAATTTGTTTACAATATTCAAGTATGCATGATACTTATGTTTAATTTTTTATGTTTCTATATAACTTTCTATATAAATGGCATTTAAATTTCTATATCTACTTTAATATTTAAATGAACAATTATAATTAAATCTACCATGTTAATAAAAAAAAGTATTAAATATATGATATAAACAATATATAAATAATATTCTAAATAAATTCCCTTTCCGTGTCATTGAAATGCCTGAAACTAATTTAATAAATAAATAAATTCATATTTAAAACATCTTTTTAAATTCATTATACATTTATTTATTGTTTGTAATAAAGAAAGAATTTTTCTTATTTATAATGAAACATGTTTAAATTTATCATTCATTCAATTAGGAAAATGATTAAAATATTTCAGAAAAATAAATAAATTTAAGAATTCAAATTACTTTTTAAACCTCTTAATTACAGCATTTAAGTATATTGTAAATTAAATAAACAAAATATATTTTTCAATTTTTATTTTCCCATAAAATAACATTTATAAAGTTTTAAAAATTTGTAATAAGAAAGGTATAAATGGAAAAGTATAATTCAATTCTTATCCTACTATCTACATTGCGGAACTTGAGTTTTATCCCTTAATTTCAATATAATATATAAAATGATAAAGACTTAAAGACTTACTTCTTAACAATAAAAATATATATTTTTTTTATATATATTTTTTTTTATTTCTTAACAATAAAAATATATATTTTTTTTATATATATTTTTTTTATCTTAGAATGATGAGAAGCGGAAAATTAATTTACTTTGTGATTATGTAAAATGGATAAAAGAAGTATTACTAATATAGGTATCACAATATTATTCATTTATTTAACAAAATATGTCGCTATTTTATGTACATTATAAAAACTTTTTTTTTGCTTTTTCTTTTTTAAATATCATACAATACTTATACATTTTAAAAATCATCAGAAAATTTAGAATTGGGTTCCTAAGTAGATTTATAAACTAATTAAGGCAAATTAATATTTGTAATAAAAATATATCAATCGATAACAATTGCATAATTCTATATGTGCAATGTTACGTTTCATTATATATGACAGTCATTTCATCATTGAAATATATTCACAAATAATTTTAGTTTATTTTATTCACCGAAGCTTTATCAAAAATCTGTATAAAATTTATATTATAAGAAGAAATGAGTGTCATATTAATTAAAAATAAAATAATATTATTATCATCTTTTTACGTGTGAATTCAAAGAGCAAGTCTTATACATTATAAAATTGTTCAATTTATCTAAATAAATTCTTATTTGAATATATATATATATATATATATATTTATATATATTTACATACATACAGACTCGCTAATCATTTTAAGCAGTTGGTATTTCAGCAGAGAATAACGGCGCATCAGTTGTACTGAACATTGGAGATTTACCTTCCCTTGCAATTCTCAAAGCTTGAAGAACACATACAGTATCAATTTCTTTTTGATTTGGTTTTTCATTATCGAGATAAATATCTGCAGCTCTTTTTCCAAAAGGTTCCAATACTTTTACTCTGTAATCGACTATTGTCGATACAGGATTCCCTGTTAACCTAAGATTTTCTAAACAAGGAAGGCTACCAATGTGTTTTATCTCTTCAATATTTTCTATTCTATTACAACTTATGTCTAAGCCTTCCAAACAATATAGTTTAGAAAAACTTGCTAGTGAAGTTAAATTATTATACGATAAATCAATATACACAATTTTGCCCAATTTGGTGTGAAGATTTTCTGGTAATGTTGTGAAACTATTTGCTGCTAGATGCAGTTGAGATAATCTTGGTAGTAGAGTAATATTTGATATTTTCTTCAATCTGTTATTATTTAACATCAGCACTTCAATATTTGGTAGTAATTTAATAGCTTCATCTATAACATCAATTTGATTTTCGCTGAGGTCTAGATGCGTCACTTTCAACCAAATATGCGAGTCATTAGCTGATGTAATATGTTTGTGAACTTCTTCACACATAGTTAATTCGATAATATTTCTTAGTTTTGTATTATGTACACTGAGAGATGTAACCGTGTCTCGAAGATTACCCATATTATAAATTTTTTCTACAGGATAATTGTTAACTGTAAAATTTTCTACATTTTTAAAACTTGACAATTCTATACTTAAGGAACAAGGGTATATATTACTCGCTCCGTATACTGTATCGCTACCTTTGATAGTTAGATCTTTTAAATGCGAATTAAAATCTAGTACATGACTAAAGTCATACTTTTTATCTGGAACTTCCAGAAATGGACGAGGTTGTTTAAGTCTTTCACTTATGGCATACATCTGAAAGGATAGGGTTTGATTTTATAATCAATAAGCCGTATTATAAAATCTATATAAGCTTATATAATAAAAATATAATAAGCTTGTATTTTAAAAATAATCAGTCTATTTATTTAATGTTAAATAAAATTATCCTATTATTTAAACGAATGTATTATGCATACTACTTTAATATACAGTTCTTCTAGTAATTTTCATCACTCGTTATAGTAATAATATCAATAGAAATTAAATATTCATTTCCTTACCTGTAATATATCAAATGTGAAATTCTGAGAGTTTTGTATTAATGATTCACCCTCTGAGAAGAATTTGCATGCTAAATTTTGTAATAAAAAGAAAATTTCATAAATGTGTAACTCTAGAAAAATTGCAAAAGGTCTAGGCATGATTTTTTTCAAATAATTATATACTGAATCCAAGTAAGTTTCAAGCCCCAAACGTCTCTTTTCTACAAATATCTCAGATTTATTACCAATTAATTTTTTTGGTGGTAATATATCTTTTTCCACGCAATGATCAGAAACTAAGATTTCATGAAGTTCAGCAAATTCACTATACCTACAAATAAAATAATATAAAATTATTTTTTCATCCCAATAAAGTAATATTAAAGCAATAGAAGTAACTTATGTATATATATATATATATATATATATATATATATATATATATGCCTGCGTATTATTTAAAATTAGTTGAAAAATAGATTTTTTTATGCAAAACAATTGCATCGAATATAAGTATATACTATTATTGATTCTTAAACCATAAATAGAGAGATATTCGATTGTTATCATAGTCAATATGAAAATTTGGAAGACTGGAATACTGTATATGTGTTTTGTATATTATTTGACCAAATTATAATAAAAAGGTTATATATTAAAAAAAAAATATCTAGTAATTATCGATTATGTAAGTCATTTAATGAAACATTTTCTTCCTTTTACCTGTGTTTGACAGTCCAATTGATGGTAGCAATTTTAACTTGTACTATGTAATATGTAATACCATCGTTGGTTTCATATGATGGAATACTAAGTTGGACATCTTTTTGATTCATAAGAAAACACGCCATTGTTGTGACAATAAAAACTAACTTTCTCTGTAATTAAGTAAAAAAACAACGCTTTTCTGGCTAAGAGAGAGAGAGAGAGGGAGAGAGAGATTGTGAGAACGAGAGGGGGTGAGGGAGAGGGAGAGAGAGAGAGAGGAAGAAGATAGGCCGTGAAAGAGATTAACCTTACATAAACAAAGCTTCAACTCGATATCATAAGGTTTTCGATGTTTTTCGACAATTTGCTATTCTTGTGGTGCATTGTTTTATAGGCGTTGCCAAACCTTTAAGGTACTCGATAAATTCTCTCCTACTATAATAATACTCATATAATGTAAAAAATTACACCGAGAGAAAAACTTATCCGTTATCTCGATGGCTGGCAAAATAACTTAGTTCTACGGTGGAAGCGGCTCCGTAGTGACGCTGACATCTTAATATTTTTACAATGATACAATCGTACTTGGTTATTCGATTTTAATATCTATTAAATTTTATTATTAACTCTCTACATTCTCTCTATATACTAACTTCATTAGTTTAATGCATATGGAATATTAACGAATGTAGCACGAACTTTGTAATTTCTAATGTTAAGTTATATCACAATTCGATCTCCGACTATTTTGATACTTCATTCTTCTCTTAATTCTTCCAGAGAATCAGGCATATTCTGCGTCACCAGCTGATATGCCAAAGCTACACACATGCACGGAGGCTTGATCCCTTGATCCAAACACATGCCTTAAATTCACATTCGCGTGTAGATAAATTTACATGCGTGTGTGAGTTGGGGATCCGTTACAGCGAGTACTTCATTAGTGTTATGCTTAGTACCTCTGGGCGCATGCCCAAAGCATTGCTTCAAGTATGCCATCATGTACGCTTGCTTACTATCGTGTAAATATAATATTCGCAGCCATGGGAATCGTAGTCAGAGATATTAATGTTAGTTTTACGAGTATATATGTCAAAACTATTTATTGAAATATTTTGGCTCGATATCTAATAAAACTTACTAATTTTATTAGTAAAATACCTATAGATTTGATCGGACGTCGAAGATATTAATTTCATTTTAATTTCTAAGAAAATAATTTCATTGATAAGAAATATCATTTGTTTTTGAATATAGAACTACTATTAATTATTAATTAAATATTTAATAAATGAACTTACTTCGTATAATTTACTACAATTCATTTTTATAAATTACAAATTATAATTGATAGACGAAGTCTTGTTTTAACATTAATCTTTAAATAATTATTTTACATTGATTTTTTTATTAGATGTTAAACATATTTTTTATGTCATGTTTTTTTTTTTTTTTTTTTTGGGTTAATTCATTGGATAAATAATTTTGATGAGTTGCGCAAACCAAAGAAGACATTTATTTCACTGACATCATCGCTTATAGATATCATAACAAATTAAGTAGTTATAAAAAAAAAAAAAAAAAAAAAAAAAAAAAAAATTACATAGCAATTCTGTTGAGTAGCATATACTTTCTGTAATTATACAATCTAATATTGAGTCTTTGGTGAATTAAATAACGAGAATAACAAAATGATCGAATATGAATGGTTTAACTATCGTTATCAGAATAAAGTTTACAAAAATAATTATGTTTTACAACATTCGTCTAATATATAAATTTGAAAATAAATTGCTTCCAAAATTTTTATATTATACATGGTCTTTTTGTATTAGTTATTTAAAGTAAATTTAACTAATATATGTTAAATTTCTTTAAATTATTTCAATATATTCATTACAAATGATATGTGTTATTTTCAAACTTTGAACTCGTACTAACATAAAACATAAAAATGTTCTATTTTGCAAAATATCTATTTAATATATAAAGCCCGCTAGAGATTATATCACATTTTAATGTGATATGTTTATTAAAAATAATTATCACATTTTTATAATATGTTTTTCTTATAATATTCGGGTAATATAATAAAAACACAATTACGTTAATTCTTGTAATTTATTATTATTTTTATTGACAATATATCATTGAATGATTTGATAGAACCGAGAAATTGAATAGCACTTTAATGATTACACATTGTTTATTAACGAAGAATAATGCCGATGGATTTTTTCCTTTTATCCTCGGCTTTGTGTGTGTGTGTGTGTGTGTGTGTGTGTGTGTGTGTGTGCGTGCGTGCGTGCGTGCGTGTGTGCGCGCGTGTGTGTATGGGTGTGGGCGCGTGTTTATCTGTGAGCGCGCGCGTGTACTCAATTAAAGAAATGAGAAAAATATTAATTTAATTTGATTTATTATCGTTAGTTTATCCTTGAATGATTAATATTGTACATATTTCAGAAGAAGACTCTAAATCGAATTGTACCGTTGTTTCACTTATTCTTTTAATTATATGTTGTTTTTAGAATTTCTGTAACAATAAGGCGATATATCGACGCATCGATGAAGAAGAAGAATAATTTACATTTTACAAATTATATATGTGAATCACTTTCAACTTACTCTTAAGTTTTGTGATTTGCTCTTAATCGTTGGATTCGTCATTCTTCGTGTTTGCGTGAAAGATCAAGGAAACCCTTGATAAGCTTGAACCAATATTAAACATATTTAATAACTTCTTGTCTGTTTATATTTTCATAATTTCTCCCCAAAATTATCACATTATCTAATTAAGGCCTATCATAATCTATGTAGACTAGATTTCATACGCATTGAAATCTATGTCGTGATATTTTTATTTATTTTCACTTGCCCGCATTATGTATTTTTGTTTTTTTGTACCTTCTTAAGATTTGATTTATCATGAGACTGTTTAATTTATTCATTAATTTGCATTGTCGAACAAAATGTTTTAATGCGATTAGAGTAAAATGAGAAATATTTTATTTAAAAATTTCTTAACGAAATTTTCATTCCCATTTTTCTATAAAACATAATAAGTTTTTTTCATTATTCGTAATGCTGCTATAGTTTATTTCTAATCTGTTTGAAATATTTTTTCAATGAATAAGAATGATCGTACTTTTTAATGAAGATTTAATTTAAATAGATAAAATATATTGATTTTATTAAAAAAAAAATTCATTTATACAATTCATCAAAATTGAAATTCAACAGCATTCAATTTATTGTAATAATGTTGTACATAAAATTAATAAAATTATCATGACAAATTTCATTAATCATCGATGTATTAACAATTTGTAAAGAGAATTGAGAAAAGACAATATATATTTTGTATGATTTCTGTTCTACGATTTAATTCTTTATTTGTGCTTATATAATATATTTACTCCATCGTAATTAACATTGCATTATTTACTTTATCATCTTGACAAAACAAATTGTAAAAGTTTGCCCAGACATCGGAATGCAGGTATTGAGAATACAAGTATAATTTATTGATGTAATTGTTCATATTTAACTACACATATGACGGTTCATTTATTAAAAATAATAGTATTTTTTTAATTTACTAGATTTTCATAATTTTAGATATCGAGAGGTAAATTTATTGTTGACTTTTTTCTTTATATTTTGTATTTAAATTTAATTTTAATTTTTTTTTTTTATTAGAATTCAAATGTTTAAATTATTTATACTTTATTTAAAAAAATATTAAATAAATTATGTTAAAGTACAATTATTATTATTAATAAATTTAAGATTTTGATGAAATACGATATTTAAATATATTTTATAGAGAATCATTTCAAATTTTTTGAATTATTCATTTGAAATAGCAGTGCACTTTCGAATATATTCAAATGACTGTTATTACTTAATTAATTTTATTATTTATTAATTTATTATTACTTGCAAAAGGTAATCCAAGCTCCTTAGTATTAAAATGTGAATTTAAAATTATTTAAAGTTAAAAGTTTTTTAAATTAAAGGCTTTATTTTTAGATTTATTTATAATTATTTATAATTATGGTGCAGTAAATATTGTTTGTTTTTTATTCGTTAATTTATTATTATTATTTTTTTTTTATTATATTTAATATTTCAAATAAAATTAAAGAAATTTATAAGTAATTATATTATTACAAGTAATATGTACATATTATATGAAGAAATAAATATATAATGATAAAAGTATATAAATGATAAATGTATAAAATATATCAATTTTTAATACTTTTATTAGTCATAATTGTCAAGTAATTGTAAAAGTCGAATACAAATTTAATGTTTTTTTCCCTAATAATTATTAAATAAATACCTTTTTATGGTAAAATTATTGTTATGAATTTGCAGAACATTATAAATTTAAAGTAGAAAAATACTTTTAATATCTCAATGCCTCATTCCCGTGAATATTCCCACACACACACACACACACACACACACACACACACACACACACACACACATATATGCTATAAACAAGATTCCTAGTTATATACATACGTATGTGTATATCAATTTAAGAGTTCTTTTAAAATATGTAGATTTTTGCATATTAATAATCTAACAATTCGAAAGTATATGTGCTTCATTCGGTCCAGTTATTGCTTCCATCGAATTCCTTTGTCGGTTTAGAAATATTGAAGCTTTTACTATATATATATATATATATAGTATTTGAAATTTTTTTTTTTTTTTTTTGCATATTATAAGTACGTAATTTTATAATTTTTCGTTATAATTGTGTTTCTTTATCTATGCAGACTGGCTTGATAAAGAGTGTAAAAAGATGCTTACAGAGTTTTCGATATGTAGGATGAATTTCATCTTCTACATTGTAATTAGCCTTTTTAATTATAACGCGTATAGAGAGCATAGAAATATAGTATAACAAAATATATGAAATATTTATAAAACAATTGCCTGCCGTAGATTGTGATTAGACGACATCATGAGTTTTGAATGTGCTTTCATTCTCTATTTTCCTTTATTTTGTTTTATGCTATGTAAAATCAATTTCATTAGCACGTGACACGAAACTTGAAACTGTAAACCAACTGCATTTCGATCATCAGTACGTAAGTAAATTTTTTAATTTTTTTTTCTTTTTTAGTACGATTAAACAAATGAGTTCGGAAAACTCGAAAGAAATAGTCTTTTTGAATTTACATATATAATATATATTTTATATATATTATATATTTGCATATATATTACAGAATGGATTTCTATGATGTTTAATTGGAACCTTTAAAATTTATATTTTATTAGAGCAAAGCAAATCAATCCTTTAAGTCTATTTTTAATATAAAACTTGATTCATTAGATTTGATTTCGGTTAATTAATCGCACATAATGTAGATTTATATCTATGTAGATTCCTATGTGTAAAAATTAATTTAAATTTTTGATCGAAATACCATTAGTTTAATACGTATTATCTTCTCATATACATATGTATACATGTGTTTAATATTTAATAAAATAGGATTTTGCTCATAGAAAAAATGCATTTGTTTTTAATTTATCGTTTATTCCTCGTCCAGCGATGAATATCATTTTCGATCAACGGACGTCGAACTTTCACAATATACGGCGCGGAAAATTGAACGAATACGATATTGTGCATGGCTTAGCCGCGCTTTCATCACATTTTTTTTCTTGTAATATTTCTTTTTTATATTTACAAACATTAATTAAGCACTCGGCTAAAATACTTACAATTATATACGTACACTTTCTTACAAGTATGAAGCTGTACAATTTGTGTATTTTTGTTATTTATTTACTTATTTTTTATGTTTTTTTTTCTTTTCTTTTTTTTTCTTTTTTTTTTTTTTTTTTTTCATACCGGTGAATCTTTTGTCAAGAGTTTCTCTGCTATTATTATTTTTATTATTGAAGTTATGCGCGAGATTTATGTGCTTTTTTTGGCGACAAATTGAAATTATTGTAATACCAATGAGATTGTGGTACTTGAGAACAATGTTAAAAACCGAAAAGCGTCTTTTATATGTTTTATTGCGAGAAAAAGAAAAATAGAATTCGATAAACTCTTGATTTACTTTGTTTACTTTTACATCGAAGTGCTTGATGGAGTTTATTGCTACATACAGGTTTTTGAATTGACGACGCATATACAATTATTTTCGGTAATTACTATTTCCATACTCTTGATTCTTGAAATGTACAGTAAACAGCAAGTTTGGAAAATCTCATTTCTCCTTTCATTCTTTCATAAACGTTAATTATACGATTGCTCAGATTTCTAAGTTGCTAGTGAACTTTTAACAAATAATCTGCGTGTGATAGAAACGTAATTTTTCCTAACTCATCACAGCATAAATATACGCACTTAAATTATGGAATGATTCAGGAGTCTTTTTTTTACGGAAGCATGAACATTTGGTCAACATTGAGCTTAAATGAAAATACGATATCAAGCAATAAATATTGAATTTTCAAATAGTTGCAGTAGATGAATTTTAAATGTTTTCTCCCTTTTTTTTTTTGTTTTTTTTTTGTTTTTTTTTTTTGTTTTTGTTTTTAGATATATCTAATTAGATGTTTAGATGAAATTTAGATTATTTGTTTTATCGAATATTTAATAAATGACGGTTTGTTCGAGCTATACTAGTTGTTTTATTTGTTTGTTTGTTTGGTTTTGTCTTGTTTACAAAGAATAGGCCTAAATAATAGTTAAAGTGTTTTTTTAATATAAAAATATGTTACGATTAGCTGATTACATACAATACTCTTAATTTTATTTACTTGTATTTTGCATCTCAGTAAAAAATAGGGAATTTAAGAATTGAAAGAACTCATTAAGGCTGTTTTTTTTTCACGCGTATTTTCTTTTTTATGAAATAGAACGTTATATATATATATATATATATATATATATATATATGTTTATATTGTAGAACACTTTAGTATCATTTGAGAAATGAAAATTGCACGAAATTTTGCAGAGTGTGCAAAGTGAAGCAGAAATTTTAATGAAATTTTTAAGGTTTAGTGAGCTATCGTTAAGCAATTATTTTTACAGTAATTCGATATGTATTTAGGATTGAGATATGACAAGATATGTGAAGTTGAAACGTACATTAGTATTTTGTGCGTCCTGAGCCTTGTAATACATTTTCTTAAGCGAAGAAAGAAAAATTATAATTCTTAATGCTCGTGCGACGATAAGTAATTCCGATAATACGATAAAGTATTTCCAGCTGATTGCAGATATCTTTCCGAGTGTATTTAAATGTAACCAGTTCCCGACGATTACGGATGATATAAGAACGAAAGTGAAATAAATACGAGATAATTAATTTCACATTGGAACAGGCACTTTTATTAATTATTTTAATAGAATGTCAAATATTTCATTATTAATACGTTTATCGTATGTTCCGTTATTAATTGGACAACTCGAGGAACTTAAAATATATTTGAGATTGCCATTACGCTTCATTAATTAAATGCAAAGAATCGAACGAATGACTAACGAGTAGCAATATGCCTGTAAATTAAGTGTGTTCCTTTTTCACTGCAATTAACGCGAAAAAATAATTAACGGCGCAGTCATCTTTCAGCTGACTGACTTCCTCCTTCGAATAACTAAGGTACCTGGTAAAAAAGGAACGTGCGTACATTAAAGAAATTTGAACGCGTCGCGCTTGTGATTCTCAATATCACGGAGTAGACGCGATTAGCTCCTTTTGCAGATTCCCGGTGCGAAGCTCGATAATCCAAGCAGTAGTGCAAGTTACGTCGTCCGCTCGATAATCTTGAATTTCATACGATCGCGATCGAGTGGCTCAACATACAAAAATAGAAGCGTGCGTGTGTGCGTTCGACGCGGTTGACGCTTTCGCCTTTGTCCACCTCAGCTAATGTGCGTTGACTAGGATGGCAAGTACAGTCCTTTAGATCATCGTGTCTGGATCGCTTGATGAATCATCACCGCTGGCTCGACGTCCTACGGAACAAAGCGCCCATTATTTATTCGGAGGATGTCGACAATGCTGAAGGATAAAACAAAATCGATTGCGAGGGAGAATGCATTTTCGGCCGTTAGACATTATTGCCAGTAATATCGAGCGATGAATGGTAAAGCCCATGGGAATCCCTAGACATACGGCATGTTTCCTTTTTTCTTTCTTATTTTTCATTCGTAAACCAAATTTGCAGTACACAAAAATATTGTTATTTTACTGCTGAAAGTATCTCGAGCGCTTATTTATTCTATTATTATCTATTACTTATTATATTCAAAAGTATTAATTGTTACATAATATCAGTTTCATTCGTAAATCCTTCCAAAGCTCCAGGGTTTAAACTTATTCCTTGAACATTTATTTCTCAAAATGTACATATATATATATATATATATATATATATATATATATATATATATATATATATATATATATATATATATATATATATATATATATATATATATATATATATATATATATATATATATATATATATATATATATATATATATATATATATATATATATATATATATATATATATATAGTTTTCAAACTAATATAACAACTCAATTCTTAATTTACAAGCACTAGGATTGTTAGTTTACTTAAACGAACATTTAGAAGTCTGTTGCAGTGATAACATTTTCGTTAGAGTTAAAGTTATTAGAATTTAATTTCACGCAGCTAATAGTTTAATAAAAATTCAGCTTAAAAGTAATTTAATCGGCTTTTTTGTTACTAAGCTATTTACAAAGTCATACTTTTGATTGTAACTGCAAAAATTCTCTCGACAATTACAACAGTAATTTCCAAATATTCCATTATAAAATTTATTATTACAGATTTTTTCAATAAATATTCGAGTTCCAAGGCATAATAAACGCTATTCATTGAAATGAAAATTACCTGTCTTCTCGATAAGATTAAATTTTAAAATTTGTTTTTTAACGAATCGTCTTCTTCGATCAATTTAACTTTCCTTATCGATTGTATCTACAATATTTGAGACGTTAAATATACTTTTAATCCGATTTAATCGATAAACTATCGATGATGCCCTAGTAATTCCGTACACTGCTTTTTGTCTGACTGGAGTAAAAAATATTTACTCAAAGCATAAATTTAACGACAGGCAATTTGTGCAAATGTCATTTCATAATATCTACAATTATCTTTAGAATTTAATTAATTATGCATACAACGTCAATATAATTTAAAAGCAAATACAGGATTTAACATATTAGTATTTGAAAAAATCATTATATTCATACAAATAATAATCAATATATGTATATATATATATATATATATATAATTAAAAATATTTTCTATATTACAGCTACGTAATATGAAAATGAAAACTATTTTTTATGAATTATTGAAAGATTAATTTTAATTTCACGAAATAAGCATGAGTTTTATTGTAATAAAACATAACCTTCACCTTTCATCATTAATTGGTTAAATTTTTCACAAAATGTAATGTCTTTCATAGAGAGAAGCTCTTCTAACGCTGTAAATTAAATAATAAATAATAATATATTCGACTCGTAGGATTCGCAGTACCCGTAATGTATTTTTTCATTTAATCAAGAAAACATTGAAACAGCTGTTGCACAATATTAAACGAAACATTCCGAGAGATCCATAAAATTTTATGCAATATAAAGATATTAATGCATATATATATATATATATATATATATATATATATATATCATGTGTGGGTGTGCACGTTCACTTAATCCCACCTACACGTTTCTCCCACACTCGAATAAAACTCGACTCAAGTTCACTGATATCTCAAAATCTTTGCCCAAGTACGTAAAGCGAATTTCACTTAAAGCGCTATAAACTAGCCATTCTTCCGGATAATATTCCTCAACAAACGCTACTCGAGTTCTTGCATTTCGCGCACCTATGATACTTTCACTTAAAGCAAGCGTTTTATTTATTTAGTCTCGCGAGCTATGAAAAAGGAGAGATTGCTTACCAGCGTCAGCCGGGACGACTCAGCTGTCGAATGGGTCGAAGGTAAGGGAGCGCGACTCGGGTAGTCGATGAAGGGCCCGGAAGCTCTGATAGAAGGTCGACTGTCGGTCGGCGTCGCCGGCGCTGAAGCGGTGCTGGGCCTTAGTCTGGCCGCTGCTCATCGGATTCTCCCAACAGCCGCTACTGGTTGCCTGGCCCAATCCGGCCGACTTACGATGCTCAAACGGGAAACTGATGCCGACTGGAAGAAATTTCGCGCTCGGTGGATTATTACTTTCTCAATGGCAATGATCATTAGACGTCGAGTCGTAAGCGTTGGTAATTGGTAATTTAACGGCTATGAATCTATCCGAGTGTGTAAGTAACCGAGGCATAGGGACATTTCTCATTCTTCTAAAGACATTGTAATGCTCGTAGAGTTTCTACGTTAAAGAAACAAGATTGCGTTTTTATTGGACTGAATGCATATTTCAAGTATGGAGATGAACGGTATGTGAATTCCCGTTATACCTTATCTTTCGTTTCCCAAAGAAACTCGCCAACTTTTACGTCCAGCATGTATTTTGTCGCACATTCAGAGATACGAGCGCTTTAAGGCTATGAAACTTACGAGCAGCGAACAAGATTAAAATCCTGTAGGAGAAGCGTCGTTCATCACGTGGTGGATATCGGTCGGGGTATCGCGAACGTGATAAGGGGTGCGTTGTAGAAAATCCCGTGAAGTTGAAGTTCCCGCGTCGTCTTCTGTCTTAGCATCCGTGTTTGTAAATTTGGCTTTACGGGGGACGGTGTATGGGTTTTACCTGGAGATTGCGGTGTCGAGCTGAGGAGGGGCGAGAGAGGCTCGTAGGGTGGCGGCGGTGGCGACGAGGGCGACGGCGTAGGTGGATCAACGGGCGCCTGCTGCACCAGGAGCTCGGGGTCGAGACCGAGGATCCTGAGAACGCGTTGGGGCTCCGAGCGCACCAATGCCTCCAGGAGATCCATAGGACAATCGGTCTGGGTCGATTGGCTGTGAAGTCGCGTCGGGGGGTTCCAGCAGAGGGCGTCCGGTGGATGGGAGGAGCTCCGGGCGAGGAGTCCGCTGCCGCAACTACGACTCGGTGTCGGTAGGTTCGGGTTGCTCTGGAGGGAGCTCGCCAGGATCTGCAATGTCTGGATGGCGTTTCGCATCTGTGCAACAGGTCACGCAGGTTTACTTTGAGATTTTAAGATTGCAGCATACAGGTGGTCCCCGACGTTTTTTTAATATTACATTTTAAATGCGGAGATTCTTTATTTTTTTTTTTTTTTTTTAATCTTTGTATCCAAGGGAAGGGAATATAGGGTATGGAGCATTGACAATGTCGACGTTGACGATTGCACTTTAGAAGCCGAAGGCATTGAAAATAAATTAATTGCCCATTAAGAGGATCTTCTCCTTGCCCACGCAACGTAATTTACTCGGAAGTAACATGAAAGAACATAACGATTTTCACGATTTCCAAAAAGATAAGATAGGCACGTGTAAATTCAATTGAATAAATAAAATACTGAATAGTGTAAAAATAATCAAGGACCTCGTATTTGACGGTGGCTACGTCTTGGTGCAGCGTTAACATCTGCGTATCTAATCGTTCAACGGAGCCACGTTTATGATCTTCCAGGGATTCTTGCGGTACCACTTGAATACTTCTACCTCTTAAAACACCCCTTGGCGGCCTTTTTCCTTGATACTCGTCCCTTTATACATCATAAATATATTATCAAACGAATCCAATATAATAATAAAGTCTTGGCTAATTTAATAGCGTAATAACAAGTGTTTCTAGATTACCTAAATTTCGTGTGTCGAGGACTCGATGAGGTGTGCAATGGCGATCGGTTTGGCGGAGATAGCGGCGAGGTCTCACCCTCCTCGGGTACGTTCTCGTCGTCCTCGCTGATGGAGGGTAACGTTAGAGATGGGCCGCCATTTATTTCCGATTCTTGCTGCTTTGAACAGATAATATAACCTTTGCAACATTTGCCTAACATTTACCGATTAGTAGTATCAGTGACAATTGCATTGAAAAATTGTCAGCTACGCCAAGTAACTTTTGCATTGTTAATATTTTTAATTTCACGCTGCTATTCGCTTCGTAATTCTAAAACGATATTTTTCTAATGCATTTTATGTTATTTTATTTGGCTACAATTGCGCTAATTGCGCTCACATGTCCTATAGTGATTGAAATTTGAACTGAAACGGAGGTTTAATAAATTAATCCAATTTTCGCATTCAATATTATAATTATCTATTTTAAAAAGATGCGTATAAGAATTTTATTTCCCACTTTATATAAATTTTAATGCAAGCCGCTTTAATGACGATCGTTCGATAAATCACCTCCATATAAAATTGACATCATCAAATGTGTAATTTTCATATATCAATGTGCCGTAAATAATATTGACATAAAGTCTAATATTTTGTTATATATATTGTACATAGATTGGTATTAGTATTAGATGTTCACTTGGGCTGAGTAGCAGGTAATTTAAAAACTGAATTAAAATTGTAATGGGAAGTTTGATGTTAGTTAGTAAAGACGAGCATTGATTAGTCGAGCAATTTTATAATCAACGTTATCGCGTGGATAGAGAGAAAGCGCGATGTAACTTTTCTAACGTCGGCATAAACAAGTCGTTAATTATACTTTTATAATTGAGATTACGAATTACCTCGACTTCGTAGCCTTCGCGCAAATTGTACGTCAAATCGTGTTGGATATCGTGGGCGAACTCGTGTTGATACTCAGGATAAAGGCGCAACACATCCACAAGGCCCTGCATGTGTATGCACTTAAGATCGCAATAAGTTAGAGCTTTGACATCGCACCGGGACTTGACAACGACGTCGTTTGAGCCCGATACGCCACCCACGTTACCCCCACCGTTGTTGCCGTGTTGTAGATAAACGTCAATGTCACATCCAACCAGATCACCTTTGCCTATATGATTTAAAAATAGTTCCGGTAATTTGATACGAGAGAGTGAATTTTTCATTCAACTTTTGCAATTTAATACGTTGTTTTTAGCTTTGTTCAACGATGTTATAGTCTGCATAATAATGCGTAATAGTCAGATAATATTTGTCAGATAAATTTTTCAGACCTTTAACGAGGCGACATTACACGAAGTACAGCTCTTTCGGTTAAACAGATTTCTTTTCAGTCGTACTTTCATGTATATTTTTCTTTATTATCAGCTACTATTGCACAACTTCTTACTTATTACTTGACAAATTTTAGTCAATACATTGCATATACTCTTTAATAGCTTAAATATCTTTTGCGAAATATTATCGAACGGAAATTGGCTAATAATATGGCATTTTCATCTAACGCCTAATATTTGATATTATTAATTGAGATTTCGCAAATGTCACGTTAATCACACTTTGCCGAATGGAAATATTGTAATTGAATATTGTTGCAATGACTAAAAAATAACTATGTATTTGTTGAGAAATTACTAAAGATTGCATTCATACTGAGGCATTAAAAATAGTAACAATTTTTTAATAATAATTTTTAATTTTTATGTAGTGGAGATCCATTTGTATATTATTAGAAAAATAATTATAATTAATATTACAATATTTGAAATGGTTAATAATCACTTTTGTAATTAAAGCGATTAATAGCGAGTTTGAATTATAAAACATTTCGAAGATTTATTTATGCAAAAATACAAATCGACACACAAAATAAGTATAAATTTGTCAAGATATTATCCGTCATCAATAACCAATATCATTCGTAGTCTAATTGGAATTCAATCATTTTTTTCTTCTGTTTTCTCATCTTTTTTATTTTTTTGAATATTTCAAATTATGCCAATATTTGTCAGAGCTGCATGCGTGTATGTTATTTTTTTTTTTGTTTTTTTTTTTTTTCGCTGCAATCAAAGTTTGACCCATTTCCGTTGAAATGAAAGTGGGAGATTAGAGGGAGAAATAGTGTACGGATCGGAATAAAAGTAGCTTTAAACCAAAGTCAGGACATTTATAATTTCTTGACTACCGACATACCTAAAATCGCGACTACCATTTCGTTCTGCACGACTTCCATCGAGCCATTGCAAAGGTAGTAGATATATGACAGCGCATCGCCCTTGTGAATGAGAAACTCCCCGGGTGCGCAGAAGATGCTGCGTATATGCAGAGAGAGAAGCTTCAAACAGCCTTGTGAGGCTGCTTCGAATATCGGTAGACTAAGTATTTCGCGATGCAAGTGCATCGAGACGTCACCTCTCAGTTCCTCTGGAAATTCCTTCAGCGTCTGGCAGCAGATAAAAAAGTATGTTTGCAGCAGCATCCCTTTCAATCGCGTCTCTTAATTCCCAATAATTGAATTTACTAAAATTCAGTGACATTATTTTTATATTGTGTTGAATGTGATAAATGTGTTATCATATCGTTGTGATATTATGATTGTACATTATTTATTCTGTAATAAAGAGAAAATCCATTCACTTTATTTTCAAATGGGCAACGCTTATATTTTTTATGCCGATATGTTAGCAGATATGATGATATGAAATTAGTAATTACGAAACAAAAAATATTCTTTCATATTCAAGTATTTAAAAATTCATTCCAACTTTAAAATGAAAATTATTTTGATATGTTATGTCTTTGTAACATTGTTAACAACTACTCGTATCATAATATTTATTTTTCATCGTCTTACCAATCAATTCTATAGACAAAATATATAATAAAATTTACTTTAACTAAGAGATTGGAAATATCTTTTGAATATTACATTGAGATAATATTGGGTAACGTAAAATAGAAAATTAAATTTTTGTTACATCATAAAATTGAATAAATCTCAAATAAAAAAAAAAAAAAAAAAAAAAAAAAAAAAAAAAAAAAATTGAACAAAATATAATGTAATATTATTCATGCTGAAAGTAATTTATAAAAGATTATTTTCATATTAGAAATATTATTTTCATATAATTAGATAATTATCAAACATAATAAATATTCAAAAGTATTATTTATAGTTTTTTTATTATCAATTAACGCAGCGAAAGAATATTCGTGATATATTAATTTCATATTAGTGAGTTGGTAATTACTATGACTTTATATTTTCATCTTTATTATACAAATTGGGTGGATTCAAATTATGATAAAAACTATAGATTGAGAAGCCTGAAGGATTAATTTTATTAGTATATATAATAGAGAAAGAAAGTGATCGACCATAGAACTTTTTAAATTATAAATTTGCAAATTGAATAAGAGTAATTCGAGAAATATATAAAACCGTTCATCTTATAATTACATTGATGTATATCTATATATATATATATATATATATATATATATACGTAATTTGAAGTATTTTAACGTGTATTTTAGATTTATATTAAATGTTAAAATACTTACTTCATGAATATCAATTCCATGATTCAAAGACCACATAGTTTGGAAATAATCTTGCATTCTTTGCTTCAGTTCGTCCGGAATTTGATGGACCACCAGAAAGTCTTTGAGATCACGCCACTTTGTTTGATACAAAGATTTTCGTGAGTACATACGTTGTATAATTGCCGTCACGTTACCGAATACCGCGGCATGCATCAGGGCTATTATTTTAAGTTAAATTAATATAATAAATTAATACAATATTGTACGGAAATTTTCACATTTATAGTATTCGAATAAGAATTTTATTTAATCCAATCACTGTCTTTAAATGTCTTATCGGTAGTATTAAAAGTACACAAAACTTGTCTTTAATATATATGTATATATGAATATATATAGTTATGTGGTTGGCAGGATTGATGGCAATTTATTTAGATTAATTACCCCGATTACAGCTTTACTCGCTGACGAATTCAAATTGCGCTTTATTACGAATAAGAAAAATCTCTCAGGTTAATGATTCATTAAAGCAATTAGTGGATAATTAAAGTACGAGTTAATTTCTACTTATTATTTATGTATATCTTTTAATGTAATCTTCGCCACTATCGGTAAAGCGCACGGACTATCATATTCAATTTCAACAGGAGATCAAAGTTGGTATAATTAAATTATTTTATATTCGTATAGGAATGAACCGAATTTTACATCATCATTGCGAATCTCGCTACGACATGCGTAATCTCTCTCTCTCTCTCTCTCTCTCTCTCTCTCTCTCTCTCTCTCTCTCTGATCTTATTAACTGTTATTTTACTTGTACTGCCAACTATAAAACAGTGTAAATCCTATCTCCAAAAACCTTAACCACAGATTATAAGAAGGAAATTCGAGCTTGTACAGTTCAGGATTGTCATAAAGATTAGCATAAAGATTTATCAAATTTTGGAAAAAATTTTATTTCATAATTCAATATAACAAAAATATCCATTTCTAAGGATATCAAACATATAACTCTACATTATTTGCATTAACATTGTCCTATTAATAAATTACTTAAGATTAATAATTTATTAATGTTAACAATTCACAATGTAAATTTAGAAATTCTCAAGATTATCCTATTTTTGATAAATTTAAAACGCATTCTTCAATTCAAATACTTTAAAGTTTCTTCTAATATTTTAATTATTAAATAGCTCACCTCCAACAAGCATTGTGCAGATGGAAAATACTTTCTCAGATGTTGTGTTGGCAGAAACATTACCGAAGCCCACAGACGTTAAGCTACTGCAAGTGAAATAAAGCGCAGTAATGTAACTTTCAGCATGGGTTACGTTTGTAACATCTGGCATTTTTAATCTGTCCGCCAGTGCGTGAATCCAGCCTAAAATTAAGCAATATTATGGTTTTTAAGTAAAATCTTTTCTTTTCTTTTTAAAGATATTTAATTATTATAATTGATTATAATAATTATTAGTTCAATTGGTCTGAAACACGACTACGTTTCAATAGTAATGTCCTATTACAAATATAATCATTTACCCTAGGATGACTATTTACGAGATAAATTTCTTTCAATATGCATTATGCATATCCTATGGATTTAGGCATATTCAATCTCTTTAATAAATATGTTTGTATTGTGAATACATAATCAATATTTCTATTCTTTTGACCTTCTATTGGAATAACTTTAATAGAGCGTTCGTTGTGTTCGTAAGTACTTTAAAATAAATTTTTTTTTGGCGACATAAGCATGCGTGCAGATGATATTTACTTATAAATTCAATTATAATTAAAAAAAATGCTTTCTTCCTCATTAATGCTCTTTTATCCTTATTGATATAATATACAAATATGCTACATTTTAAAGCTCTTTTAATTAATCTCGTTTAAAACTGAATATACTTGAATGAGGTTAGACGCAATAGTAGGTAAATATATAAGTACAAACAGAGAGGGAGGGAGGGAGGGAGAGAGAATATAAACGAATGTAATTCAATAACAGATTCGTTACTTTTTACAAATTAGTATGCACGCGCGGACGCACACACACACGCACACACGCACACACGCGCACACACGGTAGTTTAACTATTTTTGTACATAATTTATTTACAAATATTCATATATATAATTAGTAAGGCTATTTCTGTTTCATTGTTCGTTTTAATGTTATAATTGCGTCAGTTACCGTTTTGTATGCATTGTTTGTTTAAATACGTCCGAATAATCAAATTGTTTCTAGAATAAAATTTGTAAGATAATTTAGATTGCTTGGAAACCATTGACTTGTTTAAATTTAGCTTGTCGAACATTACTATTAAACGAAAAAAGACGCATTTTATTTTTTATGTAAATTCTATTTAACCCACAGTGAAAACTGATTTTTAATCTTTTGACCTGAATTATATTATTTATTGCCTTAGTAATGAAAAATGTTCTTTCTTTTTGTAAAATAACATTAATCTTTGATTTATACAGATATATCATATTCGTTTATATGAGATGAAACATAATTATAGAGCCGATAAGATAATATAGAGAAGATGAAATATCATTTATTCTATTATATATAAATCATTTTTAATTTAATTATTATTTAGACATTATATAATATATAACGTAATGATATATTTCTTTGTTTTTAACATGATCTAAAATTTAATAATTGAGGAATACATTTTTATTGTGTAATTGTTTTTATACGTATCTATTTATATGATCAAGTAAAACCAAAACATAATTAAAATATATTAGATAATTGGTATCTATAAATTATGAGATTTAGTTAAAATGAAATTATTAATAATACGATTATTTTTACTATTTTGGGCATGAATATTTTAATGAAAAAACTAATTTTCCAATTTTTCTCATGATACAAGCCTAAATTTTAAAAACAATGAAAATCTTTAAAGAATATTTTTCTTATAATTTAAAGAGTTCACGTGAACTTTTTCTACAATAATACGAGACATTCAAGAATTTTAATATAAATTCTATCTTATTAAAAAATCGGCAAGTTTTATATTCCAAAAATTAAATTTGTAATTAAATATGTAATCATTTGAATTTAACATCTTTTAAAAGTTCAATTAATTAAAGTATATATGTAGAGTAAAATTAGATGCATAGAAAGCTAAAAATATGACAAAAAATATATTTAGAATTATATATTTAAGATATGTAGCTGTTATTAAGAATTTATAAAATTATTTACAAGTTAGATGAGTTAGAAATTATTTCGATTAAATTTTCAAAATTACAGTGGCTTTCTCAATCTGCAAAATTTCATGAATATTTTAACAACATTAAAAAGTATGAAATTATTCTTCAAAATAATTTCAGTGGAAACGAATTAATGTAAGGTATAAGTATAATAATTTTCCAATGATTGGGTAACGCGTTAATTAAAATTTGTTTGTATATAAAAATAATAATATTTTTCCTATAATATAAAGTTCCTATAATATAATATTAAATGTCGTTATCGATAATAATTCTACTATGTATGTGCATAATATTTAACATTATGTTTATCGGATTTCAAACACTTATTCATAAAAGTCAAGATACTTTATTAGCACCGAGATATAAATTATATTCTTCAAAATGGAAAATAATAAAAAAGATTTTATTATATTTATTTTCCGTGCAATTTATATAAAGTCCATAAGACTGTACTTTTTTTTCTTTTTCATTTTTTTTTTTTAATATTGATGTATAGAAAAAATACATTTATGTATTGCTGTACATTAATTTCTTATATCTCTGTTTTCTTAGTAATATAGCAATTGATAAAAGTTTGTATTTCTTATTTGAACATTGTTTTAAGAATGTTAATATTTTTATGTAGAGTAAAAAAATTAGAATACGAATGTTTTTTTTGTATTTGATTTTTACCAAATAAATATATTGATTGGTATTATTATTTGAATTACTTTTTGTGTTTTTCTATTATTTATTTTAAAAAAAAGGCGCATAATGCAAAATCGTTGAAAAATATTAATATAATTTTGAAGAATGTCTCCATAATATTAATTACTACATTAAAATAAAAATATTTCACATTTAATGGAATTTTTTTATCATTAGCTCTTGAAATATGTTTTGATAAATTTTGGATCAAAGTTATTTCTTAGATATATATATAGATTCTCAAATATATGAATATAAATATAAATTACTTGCATATTTAGAGGAAATTGTCATAAAGTGAGGATAGAAAAAAGATTTTTATACATACGTACAGAATTATTTGCCATTAATCTGTATTATACGTTTAATAATATAGTCACAAGAAGCTTGAAAAGAACCGCTAAAATGCACACGAGTATAATGAAAAATAACACGCAAGAGTTTCGTCACTTCACTTTCATTTTCTACCTAATTGTTCATCAACAAATCTGATTCTGAACAAATCTACAGAAATTCTTATCATCAATTAATTGAACTACTAATTTACAGTTAAATTTAAGTAATGAAAAAGTATTATTAATAGGATAAGGAAAAATTGAAAAGATTCCAGTAAATTTGTTTTAAGAATTAATAAATAATTTCTTTTTTTCTCTCTCAAATTAATTAATAATCTCTTTTTGTTCCAAGTAATTAATAGATAATTTCTTTTACGAATAAATTTACATCTTAAGGTATTGGACAAAGATTTTTATACGAATATTCATAAAAGATAAATAAATTTACAATCTTAATTTAAAGTAATAATTTTCACAATAAATCAGAATTCGTTTTTTCGAATGAAAGCTCGCTCATCACGTTTCAAATATAAGGAGGACATTAAATACATGAAACGGAAAACAGGAGAAAACCCAATAGAATAAAGTATGCATTTTCTTTTATCATATCCATGATTTGTAGCTGCTTTTAGGTTCCAAAATAAAAGGGAAACACGTTGTCGGTGTAACGCGAGATGTACGCGCGCGATATGCATTTATTTACCTTCTCGTGTACATTTACACGTTGGTAAAGTGCCTTAGGAGTTATTAAATAATTACGTAATAGCGCACAGGTCGTAGGTCTCGAAATGTATCGAAACGCAACATTTGATTATGTACGTAAAATATTCATTTTATCATTACGGTCTTTCGAAATAAATAACTAACGACCATATACCTACTACACTACAATGTCTATGAATTTTAATACTTTACTTAATAATTGAGCGGTAAACGAGAAGTATTGAGCATTACAGACACGACGAGAAGAGAAGCAAACGTTGAATTAATAAAATAATCAATTTTTAAAAATGAAAATTATTACCAAAGTATATATGTAGCGATTATTTACACACCCAATAATATTGCAGCCGGCGAATATGTTTCAATTAAGCATAGTAATTGAGATGAAGCTTATCCAATTAATTGGCTTTAATAGTATTTTCAATATTTTTATAATATTTATATAATATATAATATATAATATGAATATCGTTTGGAATTTTATTTACAATAAATATGAAAATACGTCTTATGTATGCTACTTGTAATGAAAATAATTTAACAATACGAATAATAAAGAAGGTGCCTTACATTAAAAAAAAAAAAAAAAAAAAATACTTTTATGATTAAATGAATATTTCATTCTCATCGTGCGAATATTAATTTATAAATATTAAAAGCTACGTGAAAAACATTCGTCCCCCTAAATATCCCCTACGCATTGAATTTGCTATCCTTCAGGACTAGTAGTACGCACACATTTTTAGCGAACTAATACGCGCTAATCCGAGAAACACATTTAATTGTAAATGTGAAACTGAATTTGCAACTTTATTAAAAAGAATTTACGACGAAGGGTTATTATTCCGTCCTCTCGAGCTCGGGGATTGAGAATGGCTTCGCTCCAATATCTTGAATACTTTAACCATTTATATCCGGCGTGGGGGCAGTAAATGTCATATGGACATTATACCGGCCTTCATAGTTTTCTCATGCAAATGTAATAGAAAGTCCGTAGTTATTCAGGAAGAGAGCAAACTTCTGGTCAGAAGTGTAGTCAAATCGAAGCATATTTCTCGACATCTTGTCTCTCCGCCTCCGCCGCCACTCCTCACCACTCGCCAAATATTGACGATAAAAGTCTTACGCGAGTCACGAATATTCGAGGAAACGGAAGTACGATAAGAGTACGCGCCTGTTTAGCCCGGGAAATGAGAATTGCGCAGGTGGTCGAGGAGGGCCAGATAGAAGGGAGGAAAGACTCCGCGAGCAGAAAGGCAGAAAGTCCTTTATAGCTCGTAGGGGGTGGGGGTGGCTGTTGTGCAAGTCGCGAACTTCATCATAGTGAGCGGTTGTCGGGGACGTGGACGGGGACGGAGACGGTAGGTAAGTCAGCGGCAAACTTCAGAAGTCACAGGCCTCCGACATCTTTACGACGTATATAAAACTGAAGGCATAAGATTTATATTACATTTTTTCGCTTTTAAAATTAAAACAGAAGAGAAAGTGCATTCTCCACACCACTCTTCGGAGCTGCGCAATATTACCTCATTCTTCAAATTATATTTATCGCTTTGGATTGAGAAATATAAGATATCGCGAGCTCGCGATTAAATGTCGATAATCACGTTATAATGATTGTTGGACTCGATTGATATCGGGAGTGTAACATTTTTCATTTTTAATCTGATAAGTGATGTGAATTTTTCGCAGTCCAGGGCGATTTGCAAGTATATCCATATAAACCGTAATCTCCATTAATGACAATATTCGTACTTTTATTTTTCAATATCATTTTACAGAATATTTTGAACTTTTCATTGGCTTTTATTTACTCTTTAGCAATCATTAACTAAACAAAATCCAACAACTTTTCTAATAAATTCTTTGAATACATTAGCTCGGTACGATATTTATCGTTAAAGTAACGTTTCACTCGGTTCGCTCATTCCACCTTGAAATACTCTGTTTATTACATATCATGTCATCTGCATTATTAATTGATTTTATTTCATCGAATAAATGAAACAGACGCTTCAAAAACATCCTAAAAATTCATTTTCCTCCAATTTCAATAAAATCAATAGCGTATTGCAGACGTCAAAGGATTTTTTCTTATTTATTACGCTAGTGCTCGTCTGCATTGCAATTCATAAAGAAAGATGTAGCCCGCATGTTTTAATGTTTGTATCGAGCTCGTATCTTTGTTTCACAATGCCAAGTCAAATGCTTGGTAATGAAAGAATATAGGATAAAGGAGTAGGGAAAACAGGGAAAAGTAATAGTTAACTATCCAAGATGCTAATCGCAATCCCGACAAAACTTTAGTTAAGCTAAATCGCGAAAGTTTTTACGCTGATAGTAACTTCCAGAGATTTACCTCGGATAGTTTAGATTCTTATCACATTGAGGAGTAAAAATATTCTTCAAACTTTAGATCAAATTTTTATTTTTAACCTCTTTACGTCGGCTATTTTCATAAAAATATGTCAAGTTATAATTCATTTGACAATGTATTGTTTATTCTCGTAATTTTTTCAGATTCCGTTTAATTCAAGAGAAATGGTAACTTATATTTTTAATATTATCAGGCTGTTGAAATTAAATTTATTTTACGAGATCACTGACATTTGTTTGGAAACTTTACACACTAATGTCTATGTATATATATATATAATATAATATATATATATATATACAATAACCACCCGACGCGTTAATAATTTTTAATTAAAATAATTTTACAAATTTCAATTTTTAGCTCTTTAGCATTCAGCTGCGATGAAGAACTAAATCGACGACGAAAGAATTAGAAGACTAAAGTATTTGAATTATTTTAACAGTCAAAGTATTGGATGATTACTCGTCGTTTTATGCACGATTTGTTATTCGAGTGTCGTAATCAATTAAATTGTCCATGAATCGTTGGGAAAAAGTAAAGCGATAAAATATCTAGAAAGTAATATCACGAGGCAGGAAATAACGTGGAAAAGAAAAATGGCGAATGTTAGTAAAAATTATTGGCTCGATTCTTTCTCAAATTTTTCATTGTCTTCAATGTAATGAACCATTTAATATAGTTATTGCCTTAGAATACGATAAATCCTCTTTTTCCATTTTTACCTAATTTAATAATTTCATCCCACTTTTGTTTTGTTGTGATTTGATAAATCATTATGGATCGGCAGATGGACTGACACATACGTCTCAGTAATAAATGCGTTGAACTACACTCGTAACCGCAGTAGTAAACACGAATGAAATATATAAGGTATATGATTGATGTGACGTAGATAAAATTGCTATTATTCCAGAAGCTCGAAAGTGGATTATCTTTTATTTTTGTAAATTTAAAATATACAAATTCAAGTACAATATTCAAATTACAAATCAGGACTCTGCGTGTTCGATATTCATCGCGATATTCGGCTCTATAAACTCGACTGACACGTCAAACGCATCTTCAAGCGCACGACTGCCTTCCTCTTTCCTCGCCCCACGCTCTTATTCATGAATACCTAATAATATAAAGCGGTGATCCTGGTAGAGGAGATTTGGTCCTTTCTTAGCCCAAGATCGGCCACGGCGCCTTCGTAAATCACACGCACCAGGCAGTCCATACGTACTCTCTTCACCTCTGCATAATGCATTATGCACGACAACCGACGAATAAATAAATAACGAACAAGTTGAAAATGCTCACTCACCAAGATCCCAGTCCTTCTCGTGTCTGAGCCGCTCCTTCTCGGCAATTATATACCAGATGCAGGCGAGCCAATGCGCGACAAGTGTGAAGAAGAGCATGAGCAGTGTGAGTATTATGGCACTGTATTGGTAGTACCTGTCCATCTTTTGTAGTAACCTCGCGAGCCTCAGCAGTCTCGTTAGTTTCACCAGGTGAATGTGGCTGTGACCTGACTCCTGTATTCAAACAGACATAACAGGCATATTATGCGTGTGTTAGGCACGTGACCGTGTGTTGGCGGAGGTAGCCGGACGTTCTCGGACAGTTGGAAAAGTTCGTGAGCTCCGGAGCACGGATTTTTTCGAACACGTGCGAGTCTATAAGGGTTATTTATTTATTTTTCTTTTATCATACTTAATCCTGTCGGCTACTTTACTCTTCATTTCGTTATTCAATATTGTAAGATTTTTTTTTTTTTTTTTTTTTTTTTTTTTTCAAGCTTAGAGGTTGTAAGGTATAGTATTTTGGCTGTAGGGTTAGTAAGAAGATGAATGTACGTGGTCGAAGTTTAATAATCCTGCATTCTGCTACCGATCACTTAAAATTAATTAAATGGGCTGATTATAATAAGAACTTACAGTATTTGCTATATAGCGTTTATCAATCATCATAAATAGTGGCTATTGACATTAATTAGTAATTATTCCAGCTTTTTAATGCTTCTTTAATAACACATGAATAATGGTTTGAATAATGAAATTTGAATAAAAGGCTGATTATTAAAATTTTTTCCAAACCATTTCGGCTGAACATTGAACTTTGAACATTCGCATCAATCGTTTGTAACTATATGAATATTTCACTTAATTTTCTCATTTACAAATTTAAGAATTTTCAATATATTGAAAAATGGATTTTCCTTTTAATTGTGAAATTTGACAGTTTAGAATACATAATAGACTAAATACAATAAATTTTCCCTTTACAACTTATTCCCACGTAATATTTCTTCATATTTAGGGATAATTAATAAAGAAGAGGAATATTTATAATTATAAGTAATGAAAATATTTCACGTAAATGCTCTAAATGACATCGAATAATAAAGCAAAATGAAGCAGTGCCATTAATTTTTAATATTCTTTTGCCTTTATATTTCACATTTTACATTTATTTTCTCATGATAAATTATGCAATTAAAGATGAAAGTATTTTTAATAAAAATTAACTAAAATTAACATTAAAATCGCTTTATTTTTTAAGTAATTATATACTTAAAGCATCATGTCTTATTCAGTATCTACATTTCTTTTTCGAAGCACACAAATTTGTCTACAAATCTATTCATTAAAGTCATTATTGTGACAGTGAAATTATTATTAATTAATGAAATATAAAGTATGAAAAGCGTTAGAGTAATCCGTGACATCAATTACCGAGTCATTTGAATTTAATTTTAAATTACATTTTACAATATCGTCTATGCTGTAATAGAAATAATTCCAATATAACACTTGTATTTAGAATGGAATGATAATGATATTCATTGCGTGTAAAGTAATCACATAATTTTTTACTTATTTATCGGCTTTCATTTTCTTTTAAATCTATCTCAATCGCCGTCAAGAAGTTAAATAATTAGGTCTTTTAACATAATAAAGGATAATGTAGTGTTAAAACTTGACAACGGATAATCAATGTAAGATTGACTTGAAATGGATTTACATATAATAGATTAAGGTAGTGGTAGTGATATATATTATACAAGTTATAATTGCTAATGATAATGGCAATTTCAATACCCTTTATCCCAATAAGAATATTTGAAGAAAGATGAAATTTTCCTAAATTGTATTTATGTTGACGTTAATTGATAATTATCAGAGGTCGATAAATGAATATAAAGAATCTCTGAATTATTATTTATAAATAACATACAAAGGGAACATAGTAATTAAATTTTTTTATAAAATCTTTTGATCAATCATAAATTATATAATTTATGTACACTTATAATTGTTGAATGAAACTAATTTTATTAATTATATTAATTAATTTTACAATATTTTCTTTGAACGAATGTATTTATGAATATGAAACACGACTTCGTTAAATATGCACAATGATAAAAATTATTTAATAAAATCCAGTGAATTAAAGAATTATTCATGGAGATTATCTACGTTATTGAAAGAATTGAATGTCACGTTAATTTTGCTTCTTTTTGTAAAAAATCCTTGAGAATTAAGTATAAATTATTACTTATGATCATGGATTTAAAAAGTTACACAGTATAATTGTTATTAAATTATTAAAAATTGCGATTCATTAGTGTAATATCTAATATTAGTAAAAAAATTAATTTACATTTCTATGTATTTATCATTTCTATTTTAATATTTTAGAATAAGTGTATCCTTTTAAAATACAGTATATCGTGACACGATGTGGTTCAACAGAAATGTTATATATGACCAAGTAATTATGTAATAGGCGCATGCATAGACCTTAAAAGGACGGAGTTCAATTTTGGTAAATGAAGCATATTCAACTAGATACATAAATTTAATCCTTGACATTATAGAATTTTCAGGCTAAAGTCTAAATGATTTTTCGGAAAGAAAATGTACTTTGATCTTACAGAATTTACAATGACATTGCTTAATAATTTGGCAATTTTTTGAGCTAAATGGAGAAAAGTTATTTAATAAATAAAAATTGCCACTATCTGAGCAAATTATAGAAACAATGGATAATATTCATTTAAATATTTATTTTCTCTAAGTACAGCCATTTATAGCCATTAAGAATAATTTTACTTCCCTTCATTTAACCTTAAAGCGGTAAAATAATGATTTGATAAAGGAGACGAAAAATGTAGTATATTTTTATCATTTACTACAAACTATTATGAGAATTAAATTTTGTTCATTAAACGACAAGAGCAATTGTTAAATTATTGTAAAATTATAAGTCCAGTAAAATCGATAAATTATAAGTTTTATTTACAAAATTTTTGATTTTTTAATTAATGAAATAGGTTTGATACGCGATTAATATTTATTTTTATTTTAAAGTTAATCTTAGAATATTAGTCCAAGTAGTTGAGTAATAATTTATGAATATAGTCATTAATTATCCAAGGCTTATTCAATTTGATTATAAATAAAGTTTTTTAATAAAAGTAAAATTTCGTGTAGCTTATATTTAGTATGTTTAGCTTTGAATTTGAAACATAATCTTATTAAAGCTTTATGCCTCTTCAAATCTTTTTGTCCATGAAATCTTTTATAGCACACATTTATTATGAGGTCTTATATAAACATTGTTTTAAGTAATAAACTTTTGGTTTGGAAATCCTAGAATTTGATAAAAAGAATTCTTTATGTTTTCGAGCCTCTTTATGAGCATCATGCTAAAGATATTTATTTATGATGAATTTCCATGAACACAAGCATCACGCTTCACCTCGTTCGTTTTTTTAATGTCGCTGACTTTAGTCAGATGAAAGCGAATAATTTGTTTGCAGCTGCTTGACTGTTATGTGTAAATAATGTTGTTTTAAGATAAATTATTCGAAAGTCCACACTTTATTCCGAATAATATTTTATATAGTCATAGCGAACATGTAGATTATCATTACTCTCGCGATAAAGTTCAGATTAATTAGTGAGCGGTTAATAATTTTTTTAGCTGTGTTAACTTTAAACATATTAGTCGTATATATATATATATATATATATATATATCTTGTAAAGTATTTTGTCGCTTACTTTCACATTCCAGCTATTAGTTAATTATATTTAATTTCTAATTGTTTGCCAGTTAATGCTCTGCATGCGAATAAAGGACAATTTCGCGCTGATACGGGAACGAGCAAACCAATTATAATATTATGTAAGAAAGCAATCGATGTTAATAGAAACTGTCGTCTCCCTCAAAAAAAAAAAAAAAAAAAAAAAAAAGGAAAAAAAAAGCATCGATGTTTCCGCATCGAGTCACACGCTCAATTATAATCGATCGATGGCATCGACCCATTGAGGCAGATTACCTCGATTACTCGATTATAGTAAGCACAGGAGCTTAATGGAGTTGGGCTTGCGAATCGAACTGCTGCCACTTGCAAAGTGTCGGAGTTGCTTTGTGGATTCCGACTTACCTTCCGATACAGTGAATTCCCAATGATTTCAGGATTGTCCACTAACGTGCTGACTTGAGAAACTTTAGTGCGACCACATTTACGATTTTGCACATTCGTAATCGTCGGTCGTACGGGGCGGAGCGACGTACGATTGGGAAGGGGAGGGGGGATGGGGAGAACGACAATGGGGCCTTTATCTCATTGTGCCTTCGATATGCGTGGAAGGGATGAATGCGTGAAATCACGACTCCGTTTATTGCCTATATAATGCCCAAAGCATTTTATGCCTGGAGAGGCATTTTCGTTTACTACTATTGGCAGGGGCTGAGGCAGCCGTGAGAAATAAACTAAGTAGATGGAGTTTCCCGCCGCTCTTAAATGTCTTTTCCAATATTAAAATTGAATGAAAGCTAAGGGAGTTTCGACACACGGTCGTTAATTCACTTGTGTTACATTAAATTCTTATTTTACTGTATAGAGGCCATTTGAAAAAGTGGACAGATTTTATTGAAATGCAATATTCGATTTTTTTTTTTTTTTTTTTTTTTTTTTTTTTTTGTAACGTTTCTCTTATACAATTACCGCTTTTGTTCCTCTAAAGAATTGCCAAAGTTATATAACTATTTTCATCATAAATTCAAAATAAAAATAAAAAAAAAAATCTTATGACATTTGATATTCTCTTTAGTTAAAGCAATATCAATTGATGTGATTCTTAGTAATTGCACTTACTTTAAATACCTATTAAGGTGTATATTAGACTATTTAATGTACACGAAAGTGGAAGGCTGTTTAATAGCTAATCAAAAACAAATCAGAAAGTACTTCTTTATGAAAATGGCAGCTCCAGCTATTTCGATAAGAGAATAACAATACTTTATTATAAAGTGCTTTCAAAGTATCTATTCGCTTTTAAAATGCATAATTATTGAAAGTATATGTTAACTTGGAAGATACTTATGTTAGATCACGGGACATTATATTCAAAGAGTTTTTTTTTTAATATGGAGGAATATCAACAAATTTATATATACAAAAAAACATTATCACTATGTATATATATATATATATATATATATATATAATTTTTAAATATTCCGTATACTATTGTAATAATTACTTTTTTAGTTTTACTTTTTTGTTGTTGTAAAAAGTAGTTTTTTACTTTATTATTTATGAAGATTTGCAAATTATACACATAGACATAAATATATATTATTTATGTATTTCGCTGGTAAACTAGTTACTAAATAGTAAACTAAAATAATGTAATAACCAATTATCTTAACTGTTTTCTTTTTTTTTTTTTAACTATATGGATTTTTTTTTTATAGATCATATTATGCGAATAAAGTCGTTTGATCTTATACTTGATCAATCAGAACTATTTAATTTTATTAAATGCGCATAAATTCCAAAAGCTATTTTATTCAATTTAATTCTGACGTTATAATTCATTCGAAATTTTTAAAAACACTTCTTTTTATTAATATTTTCTGTAAATCACTGCCTTATTTTAAATATTCATATGTTTGCTATTTCCGTTAGATCATTATTTTTAAGATTAAAAATTTTAAATTCCTATAAAATTTTCATAAAGTTATCATAAAAATTTTTTTACTCAAACTCACCAAAATAATATTTATAATATTAATATATATATATAATAATATATAATTATATTTATAATTTTGTTATATAATTGTATTAACTAAAAATATACTTTGAGTCAGTAACTCAATCTGCTTTAATTCATAGTTAGGTGAAGTAAATTTCATATTGGTATAGACTACAAGGAAAAAGCCGTAATAGATCAAATGAAAAAAAAAAGATGAAACTTCTTATGAAGAAATAAGAATTGAAAATAATTGTATGTGTATAGCCTGTCATATGTTTCAAATGATTATTAACTTATTCAGGAACAGGCATCATTTGATTTACGTCCGAGATCAACTGGAGACAAGGAGAAAAGAATGCGAGGGAGAGTAAATAGTCCTTGAAGTAAATGTATACTGTAATAATGATATGTTGTCCAGTAAATGAACTCTATTCAACATTTTTAGATAGTAGAATTTAACACAATTGACAGTATTCTTTCGATTGATATAGCACTATAATTTGTAATAAAAAAAAAAAAAAAAAAAAAAATATATATATATATATATATATATATAGAAAGTTATAATAAATCTAAAATTATATTCACTAAAAAAATAATATAATCTTTAGTTAAAAATGCCTGTCAAAGAACACACGCAATACGAAAATAATACGTAAATGGAATACGAAAAATATATATTAGTATTTTACAGTAATAGAGTGAGAAAAATCGGCGGATAGAAGAAATTTAATTAAAACATAAAATTAGTTCATTCAAAACTAATAAATACATCTATTATTTATCAATTAAATTTGTATAATTATTTTTTAAAAAAATAACTGTTAATAAAAATTATATCTAATGTTTAAATGAAATTTTTTTTATAAAAGTATCAGTTTTAAATGCAAATTAAAATTAAAATGTTTATTTTAAGGACAAATGTATATAAATAATTACAAAATATACAATATTAATTCGTGTTAATAAAGCCAATAATATAAAAAAAAAATATATATACATATTTATTTCAAAATTTTATTCATTAAAAACAAGAATGAAAAAAGAAATAAAGAAAAACATTTCAATTTTTGAAATTCCTTATGAGAAATATTTTAGTCGTAGTTGTAGCTAATTTTTATGTTAAGTCAATCCATCGTTATACAATTAAGTTCTATTCTATAAATATTTGGTGCATAATTAATCAAATCTAGCAATTGTTCTTGAAAGTTTATAGAGCCCTTGAGTAACCATTCTTTGAAGAAAGTCGACGAAAATTGTGTTAAATAAGGTAAAACAAATGACATTGTTTTCTATTGCAAATTTATTTTTTACTCATTAGTTTGTGTCATTATTTGATGTATTATTTGACAGGCGATCGTTGTAATCGTGTAAAATGAAAAGGAAACCATGCTCATTGCATACCGATGATAAAAAGTGGTATTAGTAGTAGTAAAAATAGGAGTGTCAGTGGTAGTAGTGGTAGTATTAGTAGTAGTAGTAGTAGTTAGAGCCTCACCACTGGCTTTTTCTATGGTTGCCATTACCTCAAGAGCATCGATAATTAAAAGAAAAGTGTGTGTGCACACAAGAGGCAGGCAGACTTTTGATCTGTCGATCGAACACGGCATTAAAACACCTCTCATTTCGTGCAACTACAGCCATGAAGGTTGAAGGAGGTGGGGACGCTTCCACCGCGGGTGCAACTTTATATCATCGCCCTAAGCGCCACGCTATACTCGTCCGTTTCATTCCGAGTTGCGCCATATTGATGGTGTCTGAGTGAGTGAGTGAGTTAGTGAGTGCATACGTGTGTGCACATGAAAGATAGATAGAGAGAGAGAGCGAGAGAGAGAGAGAGAGAGAGCGAGAGAGAGAGAGAGAGAGAGCGAGAGAGAGAGAGAGAGAGAGTGAGAGTGAGAGTGAGTGAGAGAGAGAGTGAGTGAGTGAGTGAGTGAGTGAGCGTGGGCACAGTTAAGGGTGTAAAAGCAAGTCGAGGGATAATCCAGGGTTATTTAACAGTGCTAACCTCGCCGCTGTACACGTCACTGGCATAGAGCAGATCGAAGGGCAGAGCTGCGACGGCGTCGACGAAGAACCAACTCTTGAAGTAATTCCAAGCTATGCTTTTGCTGTTGCTAACCACCTCGCCCTTCCGGTTCACGTATGTTGTCCTGAAGTTGAGCACGATGTCTGTGTAAATGAAAAAAGTTAAGGGCTCATTAGCTTTTCAAACGCTTCCTCTCTTTCTTCGTCTTTTCTTTCATTTTGTTTACAAATTGTACATTGTGTTGAGATATTTGAAGCGTTATTTCGTGTGGCGAGTATTTTGTTGTTTTTTCTTTTCTTTCTTTCTTTCTTTTTTATTTTTCTTTAGTTTGCGCTAAAGGTATTGGGTAAAGCTTGCTTTATCCTACGGGACTCTAATGTTTAATTTTGTTTAACTTTTAATTCTACATCTCGAATGGGAATTGGATGCTCGAAAGATTAGATTTTAAATGATTGTAAAAGAATTTATGGAGTGATAAATCTAATTTTTCAGCTGCATAAACTCAAAATTAGAAGACGAACATTGAGATTTCAAAGAGCGAATATTTATATAATGGCTTACGCAGCCCACTTTGCTTATTTTATTTTCACTTAATAGCAATAAAATGTTTACTTTATCAGTATATTCGACGCATAAGCTTAATCGTATTTAGGATTATTTTTATTATAGCATTATGTTATTTCACGCTTGTCTGATCTTTATCATTTTGCTACATTAAATATAATTTTTGACATATCGCATTCGTCATCGATATTGCAATTTAAATTTCAAGAACCGAAGACTATTTAATTTTGTACGAGTGCGTGTGTGTTTATGTGAGACGAGAATAATAAGATTTTGACTTTATGGATAATATAACATATAATAGCTAGAAGAAAACACTTTGGACTCGGTAAGCAGACAAATACATAGCACTGCCTCTATAGATAATAAAGTACACTATTGTTTGAGGTTTAGTTCGTCTTGTCTTTATTCTATTGACTTTAGAATACGTTCAAACTATCTCTATCTTTACTGGGTAAACAAAAATAGAAATATATATTATGTAGATCATATTGGCGCACAATGCAGGGGAACGCGATCTAATCTTTAACTAATAATAATTATCTTTTAGTAGTGACAGGAGCAAAACGCAGCAATTACATTTACGTACTTGTTGAATATTACTTTGACAAGCACAAGCAAGAATTTGAAAATTTAATAGAAAGTAATTGGTTGGACGAATGCCAGTTGGAACAATCGCACAATTTATCATCTTTTTATATAATAATCATTTCGATACAAGTTTAAACCTATTTGCTCTACGCTCAACTTTATAATTTTCATAAGTATCGTAGCAGAATCTTAAAATACAATAATCTATAAACAATAAATTGCATATATTATATTTTTGTAATTAATAAAGACATATAATTAGCAAATTAAAATATATAAATGATAATTAAGGCGAAATTTTTTCTTCAAATTATTTTCTCTCTTACTGTCTGTTAAATTGGCAATAAAATTTCCAAATACGTATACCATTATATAAGGCTTCATATTATTTATGAAAAACACATTGAATAATTATAAAATATATTGTAAAATTGAATTAAAATATATTGTACAATACATTCCCTAAATATTATATTAACATGAAATAATTGATAACTTCATGTAGAATTTTATACTGTAATCGTAGGCATAGAGAGTAGGTTAAAATAAAATAAATTTTGTTTTTCATGCGAAATGGAATGAATTATTTTTGTAAATTATTATTGCCTACGGAAATTATTTCATAACTTTGGTTGTATTTAAATTCTATTGGAGTCGAATATTTTATATTTTAATAACTCTCATTTATCTGAAATATTTCCTAATTGATAAATATCAATCCCTCGGATTGAAAATAAATACCTTTGTATTGTGAAAAATTGTTTATGTATAAAATAGAATGGGTGTAAATGGAAAAAAAAGGAGTAGAAAAATAATTGACAACTACAAACTCTTGAGATAATTTAATTAATTTAATAATTAATTTTAAGAATATTATAAATAGCGATGATATACTATTATATGGAAATTAATGAATTGGTAAAATAAAGCAGTAAATAGACTCTTTTTTTATTCAATTACTTTAATATTTATTATTTTACGATCTTTATATTAAGAAAGCTTATGATATGTCGGAGTTTTTCAAAATATTTATGTAATATTCACGATTATCACCCATCAATATACATTTCGTATTAGTTAAGCATTACAACTGAATTGGTTACATTTGCACTGAATGTTTACAATTTACATTATAAATTTCAATTTACATTACAATTTACATTATAAAATTGGAATTTTACATTTTTGGTATCAATGTATACTTTCAAATTTCTCCATTCAAACCTGCTAATAAAAACGAATAAAAACAATTTCTCACTTAGAATTCAAATATATTATTTCAGTGTATATAGCGGGGGCTAACAGGGTATTCTCTATACGAGAAAGTAATCGTATATATTTCTTGTTGCATAATATTTGGGTTTCATCTGCCCGAATGTATGCGGCATTATAGAATAACATATTTTACCAACACCTGCTCAATAATTATATCTCTGTTTTACAATAAATAATTTTGCTCTTGCTTCGTTTGCCCGGAGCTTACTTGTGAATTTATTATACATCCACCAGGGCCTGGAAAATCACTACGAGCAAAGGATATTCTATTCTCTTCTGATCTTATATAAGTAAAACTAACAATAAGAGTGCTTTACATTATTTTAATGAATTTTAGTAATTTAATACTATTATTATTATTATTATTATTATTATTATTATTATTATTATTATTATTATTATTTAGGATAATTAAACAAATGAGATTGTTAAATTTCTCCGGTTTTTACTCTATTTATGTAAGAATATTAGTGATATTTCTATTTCTATAGTTTATCAAAAGAATGCACGATTTGGTTTTTTTTTTCTTTCTTTTTTTTATTAATTTCCTTTAATCATAATAATTATACACTTTAAAAAATATTGTGTAATGTTATTTAAAATTATTTTATGAGATATTGAAAATGTAAGAAGATTTTTCATTTTAGAAAATATAAATTACACAAAATCAATAAATAACTATATTTCCATTTTGCCATATAACAATAAAACGTAGATACATTGTATTATTTTCGTATGTACTTAGTTTAAATTGAATAAATCTGAGAAATATATTTTTTCACGCACAGCACGAAACTTTTTTCAAGTCTCAAAAGAATTGTAAGAAAAGAAAATATTTTTAAAGAAATCCGTGACAAGAATTTTAAAGCCAGTAGAAGTATAACATTAACTAAATTAAAAGTATCTATACTTTTTTTTTTTTTAAAAAAAAGAAAGAAATCGGGTGCACTGTATAAAAGTGGAGGGGTGAAAACATGAAAGCAGGGTCAGTGCGGCTGTCTTCTTTGAAAATCCACGGGCAGACGAGATTCGTAGATAGAGTATATTCGTTTTAATTATTTTTTTGAATTTCAACTTTTAATTCCAATAAATGTTGAGCATTTCTACTTATAAGAATCTATTAATATTTTCATTTGTTGTCACGATCTTGATAACGTAAATAATTGTACAGGAACATAGACGTATCCACACACACGCACACACACACACACACACACACACGCACGCACGCACGCACGCACGCACACACACACACATGTATATATAGGGATGCACATGGTCACATGTAATGGCTTGTAAGTAAAGATGAAAACACATGAGCCCATGCGTGTACGCGCATGCGCGTGTACCTACATTCGCAAAATTACGCAACAAACTAAACGTGCACATTAGCGCATATATATATATATATATATATAAATATAGAAAAGAAAATAAAGCAAGAGGAGGGAGAGAGTGAGAGAGAGAGAGAGAGAGAGAGAGAGTGATAAAGGTAAAGATAGAAAGAACATGTTGTTGTTATCTATTTTGTGTATGTTTGTAAGTTATTTAATGCTAAAACTACCAATATTTAATTTAATATTGCGTTTAATTTTTTTTATTGTAGATGTTTTATAGTTATTGTTTGTAATTATTCTATGCGAATGAACAAAAAATCTTTTTGGAATAGTATTAACATTAATATTATTAATATTTTACATTATTGTGATATTAAAATATTTTGTTCATGCTTATTTTCAATTGCATATTTTTAATTTTATAAAAATATATTTTAATTGTAAGATTGTGAAAGTAACTGTAATACTACGATTATATTATTTTATTTCTTATTTTTTTAAGTTAGTAATAATTAAATTTTTTCAAAAATAAGCAAATCTTTTTTAAGCCAGCTGATTTATTTTAAATACTTAATTGTTTTGAATATTATTTTTTATTTTTACAATATTTCTAATTTTTAACTAAAATATTTAGCTTTTTTGAATACACATATACTCTACGTGGTTGAATGTATGAAAATTATTTCTAATAAATAAATTCAAATACAGAAAATTCAATTAGGCCAGGTGAATCATTTTTCTGAAAACATTTTTATATCCATGTTTAAATGGGAAAATTCTTATTGGAAATAATTTTTTCAAGATTTTCCTTGTATACAAAATATGTATTTATTTAGTTACATTCACTAAAAATATTTATCAAAATATCGAATACAATTTTAACAAAGTTATTAATATTTTCCTGTATTTTTAATGGATAATAACGAAGAATAGTTATATAATTATAAAATGCTAATCAAATGCTGGTAGTCATTATTTATAAAAATATTCTTACATTTTTTTCTATATAAGGTTTTTTATTTCATCATGGAGATTTCAAATGTTAATCACTGTTTCATGATAAAAACGCTTACTCAGTATTAATTCAATTATAATTATACATTTTAATAAATTAATTTTATTTTAAGCGTTATTTCCTATTTTTAATATCTTTGTAATATTATTAGCAGTGATTTCATAATATTTATTTCTTATTTCGTTATTGAAAATCAAATTGTTCGAAAACTTTCTATAAAATATTATTATAGGAATGCAATACATAATATTATATTATATAATTATTTTATATATGGTTTTATATGTAGTGTGACAAAATATTGTAGGCTACATTTTTAAATTGAATTGTATGTTGCGTAATTTTATTTCACACAGTACAA